TCAAAAGAAAACAAATTATTTAACAGAGACAAAATAACATGGTCAGAATATAACTAGATGATGTCCATTCCGCTGTTTTTCTAATACAATTATCTTTCTATCAAACACACAGTGGATGCTTATCTAAATAATTAAACAAATCTACCAGGATTAATTACTTTTATTTGACACGATAAGAGCTTCAAAGAAACACAATGCGATATAAATATAGTTCAAATATAAAAATAAGAAGATGTGGTATGATTGCCAATGAGACAACTCTCCACAATAGACCAAATGACACAGAAATTAACAACTATAGGTCACCGTACGGCCTTCAACAATGAGCAAAGCCCATACCGCATAGTCAGCTATAAAAGACCCCGAAATGACAAATGTAAAACAATTCAAACGAGAAAACTAACGACCTAATTTATGTACAAAATGATGAACGAAAAACAAATATGTTACACAGCAACAAACGACAACCACTGAATTACAGGCTCCTGACTTGGGACAGGCACATACAGAATGTGGTGGGGTTAAACTCGTTTTGAAGGCGCCAATCCTCCCCTTAACCTGGGACAGTGGTGTAACAGTACAACATAAGAACAAACTATAAAAATCAGTTAAAAAAGGCTTAACTCATCAGATGGATACAAATAGAAATACATCTAACAAAAACACAGAGTGGAAGTGGACGGGTACATATACATCCCCACAAAGTCAATAAAAGACACATGTTTGTAGCTTTCTTTATAAAAAATGAGAATATAACTGCCACTGGACGTTCAGCAAACACCAATCAATCAATTAGTATGTCAATCAATATGTCAATATTTACATAAAGACGATAATCGAAATCTTCCTAAATGTACAATTAAGACAACCATATTTACTACAATGATTCTTAAATGTTTTGCGCATCTGCAAATACTTGAATGAGATTGGTCCGTTAGAATTTTCCCCTAGGAAAATTGATGAAGTTGATGAAGCTACTTTTGAAATCTATGTAAAAACCATGGAATTATGTGGTTCAAAGAAAGATGACATAAGTAATATAAAAAAATGAAAACAACACTTTAAAAATTGCATGCGTCCGAAGCACTTTTCTGGATTTACCAATCAGGAACGATCAAAGTCGAATAATTGAATGCCAAAGATGTATACTGAGAATCGAAACAATTGAAGAGCTATATGACCAAAAAAGAATTAAAAATAATACCCAAATTCATCTAAGGTCAACTTTATTGCAATATCATATCTGATTTGGTCTGTTTAACAAATAATGAAAAAAATTACTAATAAGGAGCTATGTGAACTGAAAGCCACTTTTCAGTGAAAAAGATGTACCCAAATTAGAAAAGCCAAACGCCAATGCTTTAAGAAATATTTCAAAAGATATCTCTGCGAGTTTAATACGGGTATCAAAAAATTTATCGGATGAGGGTAGCACGCGATGTAAGAACTTTCCCGTCGTAAAGTTATGGGCTTGTGCACATGCGTATTTCTCATTCAAAAATAAGAGACAGATTATGAGATCACCCCCAGTTTTTGGTTGGGTTCGTGTTGCTCAGTCTTTAGTTTTCTATGTTGTGTTTTATGTACTATTGTTTGTCTTTTTCTTTTTAGCCATGGCGTTGTCAGTTTATTTTCTTCATATGAGTTTGAATGTCCCTTTGGTATCTTTCGTCTCTCTTCTATGGTTAAGTGCAAAATTGATTTGTAAAAACACCAAACCAAACAATGGTCAACATAGACGCATACACCTTGATTAGGGCAAGAGCAACTCATTCTTTGAAGGAAAAACAGTCTGATTCTAATAAATGGTTTTTCTAAAGATTATTTAGCATCCAGATGCTTGAATTTTCTGTTGGCAAAATATTTGTTATGTATGTGCGTATCAACACACTACTAACTTCCTAACTGAGGACCAACAATATTCCTCTTATTTATCCATTATTCGTATAAGGCAAAATTTAAAAAAAAAATATCTTTCAAGATGAATGAAAAATAATATTTCTTAGAGGCAACAATAGTTTACCGATGTTCAACCATCATCATTGTGCTTCTTGATCTGCTATGGAGAAGATGTGTTGTTTTTTTTTCAATGAAAACGCTTGGGGAATACGTTGATAGCATCAATTACATATAATTTGGAATAACAGGAGGGTCTGGATTGGGGTCCTCCATTTCTGTATTCTTTAACTTTTAAGGCAATTTTCCTATATTCTTCATACTTTTTCCGATTTTCTATTCTTTATATTTTAGCACCTCATTATTCTCTATTCTTTATTTTTTTGGTCCATTTTTCTCTATTCTTTATTTTTTTTTGTCCATTATTGTCTATTCTGTAAACCAACAACCACACCCTCTAGCTTATAAAGGATATCATAAATACAGTTAAATCTGTAGACTTGCTATATGTCCGTTCCTAATCTCTTTTTAAACCGTTTGTCAAAAAGGTAAAATAACAAAAATACCGAACTCCAAGGAAAATTGAAAACGGAAATTCCTTTATCAAATGGCAAAATCAAAAGCTCAAACACATCAAACGAATGGAAAACAACTGTCATATTCCTGACTTGGTACAGACATTTACTTATGTAGAAAATGGTGGATTGAACCTGGTTTTTAGCTAGCTATACCTCTCACTTGTATGAAAGTCGCATAAAATTCTATTATACTAGTATTGACAACAATGTGTGAACGAAAACAACATAGGGGTACAGCAGTCAACAGTGTGTTATAATCTTAATACCTATAAAAACGAACAAATATGTCAACAAAGAAAAACAAAATGGCATAGACAAAGCACATAAGCAAAAATGAAAGACAAGAATACAAAAAAGACCATGGCACAATAACACAATTGCGGGATATATAAGTACCGAGCCACGCCAAAAGGGCATTATCAAATACTAGTATACTGCTAGAACTACGTGTTTGGCATTATATTTACACATAAATAACTAACCATAACACAATTTTATTGCTTTTTTATTTCTAAAGAGATAATTCATCCAAATTATATACTAAAACTAGTGTGTGTATGATATTAAGTTTTCCTTTATAACCAGCATACACATGAGATACCTAGATACATATCTCGCAATTATTCATGCAATGTAATCCGGAAACATTAATGTCCAACTGTTTTAAAAAATATTTGAAATTCAAGACTGACTACCAGTCTATGCAAATGTCTACCAATGAATGTGTCTTTAATATCATGTTTCAAAATTGTTATATAATACTTTTGTTTACGAATTATACGAAAAATACTAACATAAAATATCTTTCAATTAGAAAGAATGAAAAGGAAAGAAATAAAAAACCGAGCGTGCTGCCTTAAATACGTATTGTTGGATTTCCACGGGCGAGACACGTGCAACCTACACAAAAGATTAAACGTTTAGAAAGGGACATACCAGAATAAATCAACCAACCACAACTATCAAATGTCAAAATTGCAAGCGTTGGTTTCTACGTTCTTTTCTTTTTTATGTATAATAAGAAATCGTGCCACTTGACTTTTAGGATTTTTTGGTCCTCAATGCTCTTCAACTTCGTACTTTATTAGGCTTTTTTAACTTTGTTTGATTCGAGCGTCACTGATGAGTCTTTTGTAGACGAAACCCGCGTCTGGCGCAAGTACAAAATTTCAATCCTGGTATCTATGATGAGTTTATTGACTTCTGAGTATTTTTATAAAGTCAGAATTTGTGTTCAGATAGATAAATTGATTACCAGGGCGAATATTTCATGCATATCCAAAACGAGAACAAATAAACAACTAATACAAAAGGTAAATGAATTGGACGCAGGGTGTGAAATTTCTACCGCCACAAGAAATTAAGGGTGTGTTACATATGGGCAAAATTTTGAAAATTCAAACGGAAAGTCCTTATCAAATGGCATATTCAAAAGCTCAAACACATCAAACGAATGGAAAACAACTGTCATATTCCTGACTTAGTACAGGCATTTCCTTTGTAGAAAAGGGTAGATTAAAAATAGTTTGAATAGCTAGCTACACCTCTCACTTGTATGATAGTCGCATATAATTCCATTATATTGACAACAATGTGCGAGCAAAACAAACAGTCATAACAGGTAAAAATGTCAATAATTGGGGTTCAACAGACCTCCAACAGACCCCTCAGAGAGTTGTTTCAAATGTTCTTTAACGCACATTGAGGGTGACATTCTCCCTACACAAACATTAGATTTTACAATCCCATTCCGACTGGACGTGGCTGCTTATTTATAAATCTCATTAGGCAAAAAACACACCCAGCTTTAGCAAGGTTTTACTGCAGGACGTAAAATGTATAGGTATAGGGATGATCATATTTTTATACTTTAGTCAATCTTTTAAGTGTCGAGTATATTATCAGTGACCGCTGTGGGTATTGTCCTGTCCATAAGTACCTGTAGTCGTGGTCTGCAGACTAAGATAAATCTAAAGTCTACTTAAACGAACTAAGAATCGCCGATCCATATTCAGAGATACCACGTAGTTGAGAAAACGAAAGATATGCTTAACACTGGCGTATTCTGAATACTCTCTCTATATATATATTATCAGTGATCGCTGTACTTGGGGATTGATAAAAATTAATAAATAAATAATATTTCTGGTATATTGATGTAAAATTAACACTGAAAAAAAAGAAAAAAAAAAGATTGAAATTAAAAAAAAAAAATTAAAAATAATGGATTTAAAAAAAAGGGGGGGCAAAAAAATGCGCCCTGTCCCCAAGTACATGTAACCACGAATCGCATCTTGAGTGTAATTCTGATTTGACGCAACGTGATGAAAAGAATATACAAAATATCAATTAAATGCATAATTTAGAATACTAACTTTTCTTAATTTAACAGCATAGTGCATTTGAACAACAGTTGTCATGGAAAATTGTGAGGCAATATATTTTAAAAAAAACATTTTTTACACGACAATATATTAAAAAAAAACATTTATTACACAAAGAATATTTTTGAAAAATGATACTTACCATTTACGTTTAAGTTGACCTTTGGAATTGACCTTCGTCGACGCGCCGAACCGGGGCCGGAACTATATATCCGAGAAGCTCTTTGCATATGCATAGATGAAGTTTGGGAAGAATGCCAAGCCACAGGAGATCGCTGCATTCTCAGTTCACCCGATTTAATTTTACTCGATATTGTAGGCATGGTTAGTCTAGCAAAGCCTACATAACCTTTCATAAACTTCTTGATTTCTTGTAAAGATGCATCCGTTACAAGTTTCGAATAGTCTTCTAAAAGGCCGGTCAAATAAATGGTGTTATCACTGTTTAAACTTAGTTCATCACCATCGTCCGCATCGTCAGCATCGTCGTCTATGATATCTAGATCGTCATCTGATGCTTGGTTGTTTAAGTTTCTCTCCTTTACTCCAACTTCAGAAACTTGAATGATGTTTGCTTTTTTCGATGAGTTTGATCCCATGGTAGCGTTGGAATCGACCACGCCTATTAATAAATCTAGATGTTATTATCTAAGGAACATTACATGAATTTATTATTTATAGAACTGTATTCTTATAGATGGCTAGGTTTCAACAGTTAACTCAATTTCTATATTAAAAAATTATGTGTTTAATAACCTTATACTTTTGAACGTCATGGATGATCGGAAACTTTCTGTGGATATTTTCTTTAGATAAATGAAGCTGAAATTTTCCCATTTAAATTATACTGTGCTATTATGTATGTACAAAACAGCATTTTACTCTATCGAAAATGTCCATTATAAGGGTCTCGATAGGGGGTATTTAATTCTGTATTCTTTAAATTTTTAGCCTTTTTCCCTATTCTTTAAAATGTTGACCTATTCTTTATATTTCAGCACCCCATTATTCTCTATCCTTATCTTTTGTCCTTTTTTCTCTATCCATTACTTTTCAGCCTGTAGAATTGGTCAATTATTCAGTAAATCCCATCCAGACTCTCAATTTGTCTATTCAATAGACTATTTTCATATTACCGACTTTTGACTCTCAAGTTTATTTTTTTTCGACAGGCTATTTACTCTGTGGTAGGACATCCTGGTACCAAGTCAAGTAAGAGCAACGTAAAGAAGTAAAATCAAGCTTTCAATCGGTACAATTTTTGGGGAAAACTGAATATCATTGAGATGGCAGCCATCTCTGTGGGCCCCGCTGTGAATAATGTGTGGTAAAAAATTTGTATCTTTATAATTGGACATGGGGTTGTCAAATGAAAACAAAGTTTTTGACCTTGACCTTTGACCTAGGAAGTTGTACATAAATTATGACACACCCTCTAGTGTTGGTTTATATACATATCAAGTATAAACTTTGATTTCATAACAGTTCTCAAGATATAGAGCGGACACGATCTTTACCATAGGACATGGGGTTGTCAACTAAAACCAAAGTTTTTGACCTTGACCTTTGACCTAGGAAGTTGTTCATACATTATGACACACCCTCTGGTGTTGGTTAATATACATATCAAGTATAAACTTTGAAATCATAACGGTTCTCAAGATATAGAGCGGACACGATCTTTACCATAGGACATGGGGTTGTCAACTAAAACCAAAATTTTTGACCTTGACCTTTGACCTAGGAAGTTGAACATACATTATGACACACCCTCTGGTGTTGGTTAATATACATGTCAAGTATAAACTTTGAAATCATAAGGGTTCTCTAGATATAGAGCGGACACGATTTGTTACGGACGGATGGACGGACGGATGGACGGACGGACAGACGGACAGACGGACGGACAGACTGATCACTATAGGGCGGCCGCCATTCGGCGGGGCCCTAATTAACTGCTTCATATTTTCTTTACACGACAATATCATCGGAAAACAGTAAACTTTCCCCTCAAATTACACCGATTATATGCTTGATTTTACTTATTTTGGTTGCTCTTACTTGACAGAGTACCAAGATGTCTTACCACAGAAAAGGTAACCAGTCGAAAAATTATATAATATTGATTCAAAAGTAGGCAATATGAAAATAGTCTATTGGTTATTGCAATACCGGTAATATAGTTCATGTGTAGACGGCTAGAACACTCACATAGAAACTGTCTTACAATATAATGGTTTGAGTTTTAAGATTTTTGAGTTTTCAGATTTATCAAACATACATTTAAATGCAAAACAATTCAGCTGTGACAATCTTTACCTTATTACCTCAATATGTCAAAATGAAATATGATTTGGTGAAGAAAAAGTGCTGCTATATCGTGTATTAAAGACTGCAAATCATTAAGATACAGGTGATTAGAAAAAGTAAAGTAAGGTTTACAAAAATTGAGTAATACCAGCCCCAGTACAAACGGGCACTACAGAAGGATCAGGCATAGCAATAGGCGTTTACCCTATCGACGCATCCGGTATCGCTCCTTCTGGCATTGATGCGATTCCCTCAGTTTTTGTATTTTACCTCGAGTTGTATATTCTTAATCGATTTATCAGATTAGAACATGGACAAACTATTGTTGCCTTAATTCTAGAATTTTGGGATGACCACGAACTCGGTTCTACACATTTAAGATATAAGCAACTATCAAAATTTATATGAGGGTGTGGATAGGTGTTTACGGAATAGAGACTAATCGGCAAAAAATAGAAAGAATAGACAAAAAATAGAAAAAAAATAAAGAATAGAGAATAATGAGGTGATAAAATATAAAGAATAGAGAATAATGATCAAAAAGTAAAGCTGCTGGATCTCAATTATTGAAATTACCCTTTTTCATATCAAAGAAAAATATATTGACCGTATTCCCTTACCTTTCATTCTTGGATGTGTTATTAACTGTTCTGATAAACAATAATAATTTATTTATTGTAACGATTGACAATGCTATACATGGATACTTAATTGTTTTGTGTACAATTTCTTATACGTTACTACAAGAAAAGTACGTAAAGATAATTATTTAATTGCGTTAATGAATCGTAGTTTCGGATTCCAGGACTGATTTCGTTGCACGTGACACCAACTTCCTAAGCAATGCCACCAGCTCTTCGGACTTTGCCGATTTTCTGCGCAATTTTGTATTTATAACAGAACTATAAACAACTGCCATACGAGTAGGAGGTTTAGCTAGCTACAAAACCAGGTTACTTTAACCCACCATTTTCTTTGGAAAATGCGTGTACCAATTAAGTTAACTTATGAATATTACAGCTGAATTTCAGTCGTTCCGTTTGTTGATATACTAGTAGTCGAGCGTTTTGTTTTGTCGGATCTTATGGACTTTCCCCTTTTTCAATTTACATAGTTGTTATTTTTGTTAATAAAATTGTAAGCCTTATTTTAAGTATACATGGCATAATTTATAGTCAGTCAGTTTATAGTAAGAGTCAACTTATGATATTTAAATCGTGGCAGTCCTAAAGCTCTGGCTCAGAAGAGGTAGGTCCTCCTGGGGACTGGCAGCCATGATGCTGAGTTTGTGCCTAGAAAATCAACCTAACAATGTTAGAGTAGATCTAGTAGTAGAAGGGTGGATTTAAGTCCACCCGACACCCAACTTTGAAAATAATCATTACATACGTTGGTAGAGTTCAATCCAAGAGAGAAACACCTGTCCAAATCTTATTAAAATGTGATCTGTGATGTTGCTATGATTATAACAGTTAGCGAGTCAAGATATATTTGAAATTTAATCTGATCGCATCCGCCTAGTAGCCATTATTTTATACTGGTATGATTTAAACAACACTCTTTTGTAATAGTGTAAAATTTTTGTTTATAAGTTAATGATTAATGATGCAACTCTATCATGCAAACAACAATTTGATTTATAAATTTGATGCGTCCGAAACGCTTTTCTTGGTGTAACTTCATCAGGAACGCTTAAACTAAAATTTTTGAATGCCAATGATGTATGACTAATTTTATGCGTGAGTAGCGTATGCCAAGATACCCCTAGACAATATTGATGGTTCTGTTTTTGTCCTTTTGTTTCTAAAACTCCCAAATGTTTAAATTTTTGCTTTCTCGACTTATGGTCTCGACCGCTCCGTTGACAGTTACATCGTCAGCAAAAAGATGGAAAAAAACTACCAGATATGGTCAGGAATAGCTATGTATATATGTGTAGATATGAAATATAAGATAAATGCATGTTGCTGTTATCATCCCCAAAGTCTGGAAAACATGAGGCTTCAGGAGCGGATCCATGATTTTGAAAAAAGGGGGGTCCCCCGATAACTTAAGGAGTGGGACTTGTACAAATTGTATGCATTAACCATATATGTGGCTCTATAAGGGGAACCATGTCACCCTCCCTAACTTACTCCTCTGGCTAAACTAAAAAGAATACTGATATTATTAGTCCGGGCCGGATCCAGGAATTTATCGGAAACTTAAAAATTTTTTCAGGTAAAATTTTCGAAATATTCTTTATTAAGTTGAGGACAACCCATGCTTTGCAAATTTTAGGGGGGGAGGCGCACGCCCGCCACGCCCCCGCCTGAATCCGCACCTGTTACTGAAACTATACACACTAAATGCTTACAGGACTAGAAATAAATTATTGGTTCAGGTTACATAGATCAAATTATGTTTATATATTTCATTTATGCTCTCATACAAGAGTACATCGTGTACATGTTTCTTGATTACAGAGGTTTCGGTTAAGACATGCTTCACTGCTTTTTTCACAAGTTAAAGTCCAAAAACAAATTTGATGAGATAGAGAACGTTTCCTGAAACATTGATCACTGATAAAATCAAAATCACGAGTATAACCACAAAAAAAATGTATTTTTCGACTTTATCACCAAAAAACTGAAGAAATAAGTAGTTTTCAAGTTACTAAAAAAAGATAAAGTACTTTAATGTGGTCAAATAAGAACTATATACATATTAGCGTAGGATGATGAAATATCAGATACATAAAAAGAAACCGCGAAAAATAAATAATAAATGCAACATGAAAAGTAATGAAATCCAATAAATTTTGAATTCATGATTGGTTGTCTAGAAAAAATAAAATTTGAAATGATTTTAAAATTGACGAGAACAAAAATTTACAATATAACACAAATGCTTTGATACCAAATATGGCAATAACTTTTGTTTGGAAATTGTATGCAAACTATGATGGGTTAGTTTAATACAGCCAGAATGTTGAGAACAGTAAAAAGCCCCCCCCCCCCCTTTTTGGAAAAATAAATGAAAAGCCATTTTTCTCTATTCTTTATACTTTTTGCCCATGATTTTCTATTCTTTATATATTAGCACCTCATTATTCTCTATTCTTTATTTTTGGGGTACATTTTTCTCTATTCTTTATACTTTTTGCCCATGATTCTCTATTCTTTATATTTTAGCACCTCATTATTCTCTATTCTTTATTTTTGGGGTCCATTTTTCTCTATTCTTTATATCTTTTGCCCATTCTCTATTCTGTAAACCCCCATCTACATCCTCATATATAGCTTTCACAAGTTCCACTCCAAATGATTTCGACAAGATAAAGGAAGTTAGGTCTAATTTTCCCTGAATCTATTTCAACATCAGGACCATTTTCGGAAAGTCTTTTAATGTTTCCTTATATTCAATGTATCAACGTTCCATGTGTGTTTCTGAGGTTGTAACAAAAGTATGACATATTTCTAAAAAATAGCCAAATATAAATGTTGAAGATAGATCGAAACCAAACTTCTTGACAATTGTTTTAGCATATTATAAGCATTTATAAGAAAAATCTAGAAGATGGACATTCTTAACCAAACTTAACTGTCTTCTGTTGGAATTAAAGCCTTATATTGTCTTAAGTGCACACATGTTACTTGGTTAGAGACGTCTTTTGATGACAAAATGTTTACAAAAATTGAGTAAAATTCGCAATTTTTATATCAAAATGCATTTAACATCAACATGAAGCGCAGAATAACATATTGATATAAGTTATAGAAATGAAAATGAAAATTTACCCTACCTCTTAGGATCATTATTTGGAAATGAATGCCCAGTTTATTTGGTAAAAATTACTTTTAACTTGCAACAAGTGAACTAATGAACCCCTCCTTTATTAGAAGTATTGCATGGGTTCTTTAATGTGCAGCTAAGTAGAATGACAGTATTCAAACTCGTTCTTTCAAATTTAACGTACAAATTTCAACCGTACTATATATTTGAGAATAGGTATCATTGAAAAGTGCAACATAGGTTTCCTTCCACAGTACATGATAACTATGTACAGTTTTCAACCTTGTAACCTTCCAATGAACTAAGATTTGAGAAAAGGGAGCATTATTGTCGAAACAATAAAAAAAAAAATAGCACCGAGCATATCGATGCGACTTTTTTTGACGATTAGATGCAAACAAATGATATTTTCGATAAAAAAGGGGCGTACACCCCCCCCCCCCCCCCCACCCTCCCCCGCCCAAACCACACACACACTTAAATCCACCAAAGGTAACCTAGTGGCGGATCCAGGGGGAGGGTCCGGGGGTTCGAACCCCCTTTTTTGACGATCAATGCATTTGAATTGGGACATATGGTTGGAACCGACCCCCCTCCCCTTTATCCTGGGTTTTTAAAATGGCTGGATCCGCCCTGTAACTATGCATAGTGTCAACGCTCAAATCTTTTAACTTTTACTTTCGAATCCGGAAAAGTATCAGGACTAGAGTCGTCCCTAAACTATATAAGCTCTTGCTAGTTTTTCAAGTATGATATCCTTTCTCCAAACTGAAACTTGAAACTTTTATTTCTCAAGACCCCATCAAGGGTATGTCAATATTTAAAGCAATAATAACAATAACACATATATAAAATAATGAGATGAATGGAATGACATAATGACATATAAGGCCCCTCATGGGGGTCTCCAAGTGATCACATAATCACAAATTTTTTGCCAATATAATCCCATAATCATTATTTTTTTTTTTTTAAAAAGATAATCAAATAATCAAAACTACAGTCTTAGATTATCAAATAATCAAATAATCATGAAATATTTGGTCTGGTAATCAAATAATCACAATAAAAACGGCCAAGTAATCACATAATCAAAAACCCCATGAGAAGGCTCACACATGCAAAGTGTGGAATTTACAGTTGAAGGCCAACATAATTTATAACCAAAAAATAATTTTACCAAAATTAGCAAGTTTGACAAGCAAACAGTAGTCAAGAGAACACTTTATAGTATTAGGCTTTTTACACAAATTACAGGGCAAAAGCCTTTTGCTTTCTACTGTCAGTGAAAAATAGATTCGAGACTGGTTTTCATTCCTTTTACTACAGTAACTATGGATGATTTAGATGTCAAGCCACCCCCCCCCTTTTCCCCTCCCAACTTAGCTATGCATTGCATCATGGTTCCTCCTTTCACTAGACCTTAGTTACTATGAACATTTCAAGGCTAAAATCCTTCCCCTGGCTTGAGTTACTATGAATAGACATCAGGGATATCTCCTACAATTGAACTACTAGAATACCCAAGATCTATCAGATATATACATAGTGCATGATCAGTTTGACCCCGGGTCCGGTCTCACAATTTGATACCCTGGTATTTAGACCAAAGTGCAACACGTCCCAATTAAAAGTTTTTGACACATTAGGGCTCTGGGCAGACAAAAAAAAAGAAATCGAAGATTAATACATAAATTCCATCAATGGCATCATAACAATGAGTTTATACATATATTTTATATATATATGATATTTTAGCATGATTGCCTTAATACAATGTGGTGCATTTAATACAGTAAGTTTGAGTTTCAGTTAAAACAGGAATTAAAATAGCCTAACTTAGCTTACCTTACAAATTCAGGTGTGAAATGTTGTCAGTATATCAGGTTCGTTTGTTTACATCGAAACCCTATATCTATGATGGGGCGTAAATGTAAGATCGTGTATCCAATACACAAAATATCAATTCAAATATCATCAACAATTAACTCATGCAATTAAAGTTACCTTAAATCTATGGAAAAGTATTAATATATTGTATTTATTTCAAAACAACACGTCAAGTGGGATTTTGTTCATTTTAGTATAGCGATCAAGTTCTTGTTTATATACAAGAAAATATATATTTAAATGGAGAGATATTGATCACAAATAAAATGTAGAGCGGATTGATTTGCACCGATGTAAGATATATAGGCCTAAATATGTACATATCATTTTTTACCATGACGCGACACTCACAATCCATTTAAATTCAAACACATTAGGAATAACTTTATTACATTTTGAAACTTCATCCAAACGGAACGTTCGTTTGGCGGGAGTTCTTTTCATGTAAATTTTTAATATTTTTTGTCATCGGCAGACGATACTTTTCTAAGGTCTGTTGCACTGGAGTCTGAGCAGCCGTTGAAAGGCGGGAACTGTGTATCTTTATATATTTTGTAACCATGACATTTTGTTATGATGATGCATACAAAAATATTGATCGAAACATGCAAGTAACTAATTAAGGGCATGAAAGGAATTCGGGCATAGTTTTTGTATGCTTTAACAACTTTCAATATATTTTGTTTGAACAGGACGTGTCGCCATATGAAATTGATATACATTTCAAGGACTTGTTTGTATAAAATTGATTAAATTTTGAATACGAAGTCATCTCGTAGTTTATAAGAAGATTGCGCGGGGGTGTGATTTTAGTTTTGGAAATACTTTTATTGATGGGCAAATCTCATAGTGGTCTCAATTTGCATGCGTGTATAATATTAGAAGTTGTTATTCTCCCAATGACAGACACCCTGTTATTTAACATCAAATTGGGCTGTAATTTTGACTCGATGTCTAGCATAGGCCGTTTCTGATTTTCTCTCAACTTTGCAACACCTAACTACCAACGAAGATGAAAAACATACACTCAAATAAAAATACGCATATAAACTTCAACATAATTTAAAGACATTAAAGTTTGACATCATTATTAATGAAATACAAAATATGTTTTTCAAAAGTTTTATCTAGATATAAGAAGATGTGGTATGAGTGCCAATTAGACGACTCTCCATCCAAGTCAAAATTTATAAAAGTAAACCATTATAGGTCAAAGTACGCGGTCTTCAACACGGAGCCTTGGCTCACACCGAACAGCAAGCTATAAAGGGCCCCAAAAATGTAGCAATACTATACATCAGATGTAGGGATGGTTCAAAGCTATGCTAGAAGACATCTGTCTATATGTATGAGGTTTCGGGTGGGGGAGGGGGGGTTGCAGAATAAAGAATAATGGGCAAAAAATATAAAGAATAGAGAAAAATGGACCAAAAAAATAAAGAATAGAGAAAAAATGGATCGAAATAATAAAGAATAGAGAATAATGAGGTGCTAAAATATAAAGATGGAGAATAATGGGCACAAAGTGTAACGAATACAGAAAAAGGACCCCCAACCAGACTTAAAAATACATATAAATGTTTACACTTAAGTCCTTTTCTTTCATGGAAGAAACATCTGAATATTTCTTACTTTTTTCAGGGAAAATATATCAAGACCACCCTTTCCAAAGACTTGAGAAATTAACCCCCCTACCCCTAACTTTTCAATATTTTTATTATATTTATATTCAACAAAAAATAAATGCATGCAATTTATATTTATATTATGAATATTGAAGAGGGGGTGTCATTGAATAAAATAGTACATCAGTAGTGGAAATGAAGCTTCAAGTGGGGAAGTTGTTTGTGACTTCAGGGAACTTTGTTTAGATATACCTGTTAAGGTGTCGTGACCACACCTTCGATCAATTTATACACGTTGAACCTAAAATAAAATTGAGAATGGAAATGGGGAATATGTCAAAGAGACCAAAGAGCAGACAACAGCCGAAGGCCACCAATGGGTCTTCAATGCAGCGAGAAAATCCCGCACCCGGAGGTGGTCCTCAGCTGGCCCCTAAATAAAATTATGTACTAGTTCAGTGAAAATGGACGTCACACTAAACTCCAAAACATATAAATGAACTTATATTAAAAAACATACAAGACTAACAAAGGCCAGAGGCTCCTGACTTGGGACAGGCGCAAAAATGCGGCGGGGTTAAACATGTTTTGAGATATCTCAACCCTCCCCCTATACCTCTAGTCAATGTAGAAAAAAGAAACACATAGCAATACGCACAGTAAAACTCAGTTTAAAAGAAGTCCAAGTCCGATGTCAAAATAGGTAACAAAAAAAACTAAGAAAAATGACAATGATACATAAAAAAACAAAGGACTACTAGCAGTTACTGCCAGCTCCAGACCTCAGTTAAACTGATTGAAAGATTGTGTCTTCATCATATGAAAATCAAGTACAATCCCTCCCGTTAGGGGTTTAGTATCACCTTTATTAAAGACGTTAGTAAATTAATTTAGATCAAAATACTTCCTTGGAAATACATGATGAAATTTAGGAATGTTATCTTAGCAATTGAGCCTAGCGGAGCGAGACGTAAAAAATTGATGTTTTGCCTGCCAAACAACTATTAATATTATCATTGTTTGTATTATATGGAATCTGAGACTTCTATAACACAGTAAAATAGTCTCAGATGGGAAGGGGTATAATATTAAGAAAACCTTCTAGAAAACCTGCTAAAACAAAGAAATACAACCATTATTTCCTATTATTGTCATGTATAACAAACAAACAAACAGATGATGGTCATCACACGCACGAAGAAAACATTGAAATAAAGTTTGAAGCCAAAAATGATGACACAAGAAACATAGATATGACATCTGAATTTCAAGTGTTAGGCATTTCTGCTGAATAATCAGATACTGATTTAGAGTATTCATCAAATAAGCTATATATTTTTTTTGCATGTTTGAAATACAGAATTACTCAAATATTGTGAATTTTTTCGATGGCCCCCCCCCCCCCCCCCCGCATCTGAAGTATTAAAAAAAATGTATATTCCTTTCCATTCCCCAAAATTTTCAAGGCCACCCTTTAATTTCATTTCCCCCTTCAGGTTACAAATGACCAGTCCCTTAAAGAATCTTTAGTATGAAAAGAATGATAAAAAAACAAGCCAAAAAATAAAAGTTTGGTAAAATCATTTTCATTCAAAAAAGGTATCTCCCATACAGGAGTGTCTGCATGTATGGGCGGGGGGGGGGACAAAAAATAAATAAATGGGAATAATGGGGTGCTAAAATATAAAGACAAGAGAAAATGCTAAATAAATATAAAGTTAGAGAAACATGACCAAAAAATTTAAAGAATACAGAAATGAAGGACCCCGCATCCTGACCCTCATATATACCACAACAATAAGTAAAAATTGACAGACAGCAACCATACAACGGTAACCACTGAATTACATGCTCCTGGCTTGGGACGACCACATAGAGAATGTGGCGGGGTTTTACATGTTTGTGAGCTCTAAACCACTAGTATCCCAAGTACAATGACGCAACAGCCCAACATAAGAACACACTGTAAAACTTATTTGAGCACGTCTTAGAAATAATGACGAGTATTTTGTATGAGGGGGTGGACAGCTTTTGAGAGAGGTGGGAGGTGGTGGCGGGAGGTGGGGGACAAAAAGTAGGTGGGAGAAAAAAAAAGATTCTAAAAGTGGGTGGTGGGAGATAGGGGCGGGAGGTGGGAGAAGGGTACCCCCTGTCCACCCCCTCTTGTATATTGTTCTCATTTTTTATTATATTCTGCATTCCTATCAGTGGAGCCTTGAGACACAAAACATCACTTAATATGGAGCCTGGAGCCCAACAATAAAAAAAAGAATGGAGTCCGCAGTCCAGAGCCCGTGATATCCCCTAAATATAGAGCACGACGCTCTCACTACACGTCTGCATGTAGGTCGTTTTTCTTTTTGGTTTTCATAATATCTTCTCTCTCTTTCTGGTCTTTTTTGGTCGTTTTTTTAATAATAGACAAGTGTCTACATCGTAATTATTTCTAGACCTTTTCAAAGGTGGAGATTTTTCTTCAACTTGAAATTGTATATTTGTTAAATAATACTTGAAGAATGGGTAAATTTGCAGTTAGTATTAAACTTCAAACAAACATCGATATACCAATGACTGTCTAATCAATGAATAATGAGGATCTGGATGGGGGTCCTTTATTTCTGTATTCTTTAATTTTTAAGTCATTTTTCTCTATTCTTTATACTTTTTGCCCATTATTCTCTATTCTTTATATTTTAGCACCTCAATATTTCCTATTCTTTATTTTTTTGGTCCATTTTTCTCTATTCTTTATAACTTTTGCCTATTATTCTCTATTCTGTAAAACCCCATCCACACCATCAATAATGTCTGATGACATGTATATATATAAGTAAATTGTCAAACGAACCAACAAGGACATGTTATACTTGTTTTAAATATTTCTTGTCTATGCAATCAGAAGGTTTTTTTCCCGTTAGTATACATAATTCTATTAGGTCTTTAGTCATTCCCTAATTATTCCACTGCACGTGACGGGCTTTGATGTTTCCATGCAACGAAGCTCTTTAGCGTCAAGGAACTGTCATGATGAACAAACAACTGTAAACAAAACAACATTCAATCAAACTGATAAGCAATATTTATGTACCTGCCATAGCAACCAAATAGATTTTTGTTTCAGCAAACGAGCATGTTTTTGCACTGTGCGTCGCGGTTGCCTTCCTGTTGCCTAGGAACCAATGTTTGCTTAGCTGAATCAAGGTCCAATGAATCAGAAAATTGCAAAATAATTTAGTGATTTAATACATTTTACTTTCAAATAAAATTAGCATGAAATATAATTTGTTTAAATTATTTTTCGTAATTTATTTTTACCTTTAATGATGATATATGTTTTAAATTTCTATAATCAATGTAAACGAGGAGTTGTGAATTAGTTTGAAAATAAA